CGGCCGGCCCTAAATTGGATTGATTTGATTTAATTTAAATTTGCCATGTTGGTATTTGAAATTGCAGCATAAATATATAAAATTACATTCTACATATTATTTTAAATGAAAATAATAGTACTGCATCTGTTATAAAAGGCATATTTGTCAATTTTTTTACTCATTTTTGTTAATAATTTTAGGCTAATATTTTCTTTCAAGAAATGGATATATATTTAGCATTGCTGTCAAATAGTCCAGCTGTGATTTTATAAAATTTCTAACCGTTAATGTTTCCTTAACTATTCATACTTGTGAATTCTTTACACTGAGCTTGCTTAGTGATTTTAGTAAAACTTATTTTTCAAAACGTGAATCAGTTGAATGGAGTTGATGACTGATTTTTTTTTAAGTGTTAGAGTTAAATATAATACCTGCTGTAATCGCTCTCACCCCCAGTTTTAACTGAGTACCTTAGAAGAGGTTTCTCATTTCAGAGTATGTCACCAGGTGTTAGGAAATCCATCCCTTTAACAACATGAGTGTGGTTGGAGTCTTCCCCTCTCGTACACCTCCCTACTGTTGGATTGAGGTGCTGCTTCTCTTCCCGTCTTGTGTGGCACGTTTCTTTGCAGCACATCTTCTAGGTATTTGTCCCAGACAGGTGGCAGCCTGGCTGCTCTTGAGGAAGCTAGTCATTGTTTTCCACTTGAAGAGGGAGACTGAGGCAAGCCTTTTCCTCTGTTTTAGGGTTGAGTTTCAGGAACATGTGTTTCTCTTCTGTCAGCTCCGTGCTGAACTTTGAGTGTTAGCTTTAATTATCTCCATTTTTACCTCTCTTTTTTAGATGATTTGGGTCTCCTGAGTGCTCACTTGACTGTCTGCCTCAGCCTGTGGTTTCCATATGCTCATTGAACTTGCTCCATTTCATCTTTCTTTTCTTTGCCCAATTCCTGCTCACCACCAGTTCTTCCAGACCACACTGACCATCAGCCCCGCTTAACAGCAAATAGAAACCAAATAGCACTTTGTCTTGGGACATGAGCCATGTGTCCTAGAAGGAGCCACAACCTGCTATAGGTCTCCAGTCTTCAGGGCTTAGACTTTTTGTGTCATCTATCGCAGTTATAGTTAGGGTCCAATGCAGGTCTTGGCCCTGCCCTCCTGTACCTTTCACTGCCATCTGAGTGCGTTAGAGCTGGTCCCAACACACTGGATTTTTAAAAACTCATTGTCGTCTACTGTTTTTCTTAGGCCTACCTTTCTGGATGCTGCTTCATGTGTATTTGTTTTGTAGCAATTTTGACATGGGCTTCTCCAGCCTGGCGACTGTCAGTGCCTGCAAGCAAGCCACAGCCAGGCTTTTGATAGATTGTGTTTGAGAGAGCGCCAAATCCTAACCACTAGGCCACAGGGGAGCTGAGCTAGATTGTGTGTGGACAAGGCCCATCTCTATGAGTATGGCAGGAAACCAGGTATCCCACTCTCAGCACCCTGCTTAGCAGTTAGGCTCCACATTCTCCTAACCTTCAGGGAAGCAGCATTGCAGCTGCTCTGCTTCTGCCAAGCTCTGAACTAAGGAAGGTACTCAGGCTGACTTGGCCTTAGCACTGTCCCAGTAGGTTGGGCTGTTTGGAAACCCCATTCCATGTGTGTAGACGAATGATTTAGTCCTGCTACTTCATTTCACCCCAGCCTTCAGGCCTGAAAAAAAAGAGGTGAAGTCCCGGACTCTTTGGTTTCTTCCAGTGTTGTTTGCTTCCCCTTTCCCTTAGATTAGGGACACTGTTGCTCAAATGGGGTCACTGGGTGTGAGGTACCATTTACATCACTTTTCATCCCAAGCTTCAACATTAGAAGGACCCATTTGAAGGTCCTGTGCTGGAGAGAAACCTTAGTCTGAGTAGCATCCGTGCACTGCTTTGGCTTTTTGCCCTAATAGGGAGTTCATTCTTTTCATTGTTATTAGACCACCACCTTGATTAATTAAGGATACATGACTGATTAATTAATTTAGGTGCCCTGGAACTTCTTCCCACATGTCTCAAAGTCCACCAGGAAGGCTTAGCTTGATCTTGTGTGGACTCCTCTCTCCTCCACCATATTGAAATTCGTGGCTTGAAAGTCTTGTGGTGTTCAGCTGTGGTACAGTCTGGTTACTGTGCATCACACCTGTGCATCCTGTCTCCAGCACCAAACAGCCTCAGGGAGGGGTGAGGGAGATGCCCGATGTCCGATGTGTCCCTAATACATCCTGTTGTCCCACTTACCAGAATGATCATGGCTTCCCTAAAACCTCATTGGCTCCCCAGATGCCTATAGAGTAGTAAGATTCCCAAGCAGTGTTAGGAAAGTACACAACTGAAAGTCTTCCGGGCCGGCCGAGTGGTGCGATGGTTAAGAAATCGCTTGGGATGCCAGAGGACCCCGGTTCGGATCCCACATATGAGGGCCAGTAACACTGCCCTCTACAGCTAAGATGCTGAACAACAGCTCAACCTGGAGCTGGGCTGCCTTGAGTCGCCAGGGACAGCGTAGGCTGCAGCCCCTGTGGCAGTGGGTTGCCGTGGGCTACCGTGTGTAGCCAGCAGCCAGCGTGAGCGGCCAGCAGCGCAGTGAGCGGCCGTCCAGAAGCCGGCGACTGATCTGCCTCACCAGAGAAGAGTGCAATGATGGTGCCAACTTGGGCCAGTGAAGCAACATCCTCTACAACTAGATTGAGGAACAAAACGACAGCAACTTGTCTGTTCCCCTTTCCCCAATTCCCCAGCACTGTTCCCATCCCCCCAATTCCCCAATAAAAATCTTTAAAAAAAAAAAAAAAAAAGAAAGTCTTCCTTCTCGTTCATCATGCACTTGTCATATTAATTCCGTTCTGGCACCCAGATTTCCTCTTATTCCATTACCTTTCTTTTGGATTCTGTGCTTGGGCTGGAAGATGTGGGGGTGGGAGGAATTTCTGTTATGCTTGGAATAAGGCTGGTCTTTTATTCACTGTCATTCACAAGTGCCCCCTTAAATATCCTCTTCTCATCACAGAAAGTTTTCAGGAACCCTTGAGGGTCAGACTATGTACCAGAATAGAACAAAGAACCTAGTAAGAATTCACGACACCACCTCTGGGAACATTGTCTTTGAAGAAACGTAGCAGTTGTGCATTTGGTCAGGAAGACATGGAGGTCCTAGCATCGTAGATTCTCCAGTGGTCCTCGGTTGCCTGTCAGCTAGGCGCCTACCAGAGTTCTGTCCATGGATAGAAAGGGGAGAGTGGAGAGAGCATAAGGAAACTGCAGGAAGGAAGTTAGAAATTCATAGCTTTTCTAGGTGAAAAAAAAACTTGAAGTCAAGGAGTACAAAGATTAGAACAGGGACCAAGATCAGGTGAAGCAGCCAGAATCTGATAGCTGCTGTGCCCCACGTGCTGCAGTGAGCCAGGGTGCAAAGGTGGGAGCATCATCGCCTTCAAGCGCGTCTGAGCTGGAGCCTCCAGCTTCACCACCTGCTTCTGACTTCTCTGTTTTACTTGGTGGTTTCTCTTCTTCCATACATCCTTAAAAAATGTAAGCACACTGGCGTTATAGTCTTTATTCTCTTGATTTATTCCTTGTTGATACTTGCCTTGATTGCTCTCACCTCTTCCCAAGGTTTCAGCCATCACCTCTGGTAATGTCTTCAGCCCTGACAACTCTTCAGATCCCCAGGTTTCCCACTGCCCCCCAGACGCCCTCATGTGGATGTGCTGCAGGTGCCTCAAATTCAGAATGTTCAAAATCAAATTTGCGCTGACACGTGCTACAGCATGAGTGACCCTTAAAAACATGATGCCAAGTGACAAAAGCCAGTCACACAAAACCACATATTGTATGATTCCAACTATAGGAACTGTTCAGAATAAACCAAGCCATAGAGACAGAAAGTAGGTTAGTGGTTGCCAGGGACTGGGGAGTTAGGGCAAAGTAGGGGATTTGTGTGACTAATGAGTATGGGGTTTTGGGGGGAGGAGGTGAGAAAAATATTCTAAAACTGATTATGGTGACTGATGGTTGCACAAGTCTGTGAATACACTAAAAAGTAGTTGAATTGTAAACTTTAAATGGGTAAACTGTATGGTATGTGAATTAGATCTCAGTAATGCTGTTAAAAATCCAATCGCATTTGTCTCCTCCCCCTGGCCACTGGCTTCTCGTCATGGTCCATAACTCCTGTAGCTAGCCAGCCAAACCGGGAACTTGTCCTGTTCATCCTTCTAGTTCTCCTTCCAACTTCATCCATGCCAAGTCTTCTTATATCTCACTCATTCGTTACTTCATTTGATTCATTCATTTTTAAGGCTGCATATTATTCCACCTTGTGGTTATATTATTTATTTCAGTGCTTTTCAAACTTTTTTTGCTTACATACCGTAGAATTTTGAAAAATTATTAATCTCGTTATATACTTTTAGGTTGGTAGTTAATATTTTTTATGATGTTTCCACTGTTACACAGGATACAATTTCTGGTATATTATAAATACCGAGAGTCTTTAATAAAACTGTTACATCATTGTAAATCTCTTCAGTGGAACCTGCACACCATAGGAATTTGATAACATCATTCATTTTTTTTAAAAGTACAAACAAGTTCTTTTAACAGTGAGAAATTTTACATCATTCCTTTTTTTTTGCTTTGAATTTGCATTCCATTTCATTTCCCCTGTAGACTTTTCTTTGAAAGTCTTGTATTGACCACCCAGTCAAATTTGATGCATAATGTTAATAGATTTCTGTGACTATTAGGTGTTAAATATTTCCTCTGGATTGAGTTAACATTATAGTTGATCAAAATATCATAAATACATTACAGATTTTATTAACTATTGATTAGACAAAAGTTTTATTAGAAATTAAAACTATTGATTATTAAAATAAGTTTTATTAGAAATCTCTTCAATAAGTTCATGTATTCAGAGATAAATATTACTTATTGCTACTATAATAATACAGTGTTTATCCATTCTAATTCTATTTTTTCTTTTTATAGATGTAAGTCCTGAGAAATCTTGTTTATATGATTATATAGATGGAAATCAAAGCACTTTAATTATAACAGTGCCACTCGGTTCTTTGGACTCATTCTGAATTATAGGCCAGAAAAAAAATCACTTGATCTGTCATCAAAAAGTATTTTGAGTGTTTCTCTGACAGCTCAATTTTGTACTCTATTTTATTAAAAAGCAAAGAATTGGAAACCACTGGACCTGCAAAAGTATGCTATTTATTACTAGCTGCTAGCGTGGGTTCATTTTCTTCAGACTACCACCAATATTTCCAACTTCCCCCTTTTTGGGGGTTCCCAGGTAATGCAGAGTAGTCAGATCCAGGATGAGAAGGTATATTTTTCCTGTATAAAGTGGGAGGTAGGGAACCAGCCTTAATCAGTTGTGAAAGCAGGTTAATTTTGGAAAGCAAGCATTGGGAATTTGAGGATCTGGAAATTAATTCCCTCCAAACTATCTGTACCCACATACTCCTTGGAAAGTCTTCATATACCCCTAAACACATGCATACCCGAGTTGGATGATTGATAACTTACTTAACCAAGCCTCTGTTGATGACTTCAGGGTAGCTTACAGGTTTTCATTACTTCTGGTAACACGCCCCAGGCACATTGACACTCTGGTACTTGGCAGTAGTGTCCCATTTACTGATTTCTGCTCTCACCGGAAGTACATGAAAGGGACTGTTTACCTACACCCGAGCCAGCACTCCACGTTATCAGCCTTTATTATTTGATGTCCATCTAATAGCAGGAAATAGTTCTCATTGCCCTTCTTTGATTATTAATGATGTGAGCATACTTTTTATGTGTCTATTGGCCATTTCTATTTCTTTGCTCAATTTCCTTATTTCTGTGCTTTGCCAGTGCTCCTGTTGAGGGATGGTACTTTTTCTTATTGATTTGTAAGAATTCCTGATTAACCTGTCGTACATTTTGCTGGTTTTAATTTAATGTTTGTCAGCTGTTTATGGTGGCTTTTACATTACTGAACTTGTAAATGTTTGTGAATCTGTCAAGATTGTCTTACAGCTTCTGGATTTCATATCATGTTTATGCTTATAAAAATTCCTTATGGTTATTTTTATAACCTTTATAAAGGTTAAATTCATGGTTGTAAATTTTTAAACATATAAGTACTTATTCCATTTAGAATTTATTTTTATGGTACACTATGAGGTTAGGATCTAATTTTTCTCCCCAATGGATAGTCAGTTTTTCTAACACTGTTTCTTGAATAATTTGTCTTTTTCCCACTGATTGAAAATGCCACCTTTACGGTATACTGCATTCTCATGTATTTCTGGTCTGTTTTTGGACTCTTTGGAGCCTCTAACTTGTTTCCTGGCCTCCTGAGATTTGCTTATTCCATCCCTTCACTACTAGCACAATTACTGACTTGAAACACAGATTGAATCATATCACTGTTATGCAAACACCTTCCAAGGATTCTGTTGCCTGTGAAAAAAGAGACTAGATTTGTTAGCCAGGTCCAGCCCTAAGCTACCTTCCTAACTATGTTTTTCACTGGGCCCTTTGCTTTTTGGAGTATAACATAATTTTTCATGTATTTGTATCTTTGTTCCTGCTGTTCTCTTGGCTAAAAATAGTCACCTGATCCCCATTCTTTTATTAAAACCCTGCTTTCCTTTTAAGACCCATTGTAGAGCCTTACCAAAACCCCTTCTTTAGCTCGTTTCATTTGGTCCCTAACTGTTGCTGTTTACTTTCCTATTTCCCCAAATAGGGGGTCAGCTCCTTGAGGATAGAGGATACCTCATTTGTTGTTGTTTTTTCAGCTGAGCCATCCTGCCACCTGTTGGCAGCTCAGCGGCTGCTCAGCTCGGGCTGGGAATCGAACCGCTGTTGCTCAGAGCTTGCACTCTTGAGCGAGCTCTTAACCAACTGAGCCACTCGGCCGGCCCTCATTAGTTTTTATATATTACCCTGTTGACTTTCATATAGTTTGTCTTTAAAAAATGCTTGTTGAATGAATCGAATCTAATTGTGTGTGTATGTGTTATGCCCGAGCAAAGTCCAGAGGACATCAGGTACAAGTTTCCAAGAGTCCTCTCCCAGTGGAGCCACACAGCACATGCTTAACTTCCCCAGCAATGAGCTGTGACAACACATGTGAAATGTTGCCAACCATGGAAGCTCGTTAGAGACTCAGTGCCTAGGGTTTTTATTGGGGGCTGGTCACATAGGCACCCGTGCCAGGCACAGACCCCAATTCCAGACTCTCAGAGGAAAGCAGCATAGACTACATTGTTTGTACAGTCTAGACCAGCGGTTCTTAACTTTTCACAGGGGTCGCCTAAGACCATTGGAAAACATATTTTCAAAGGTCTTAGGAACCGAGACACCGCTCCTCTATCCGTCTCCGGGCCCACATGCAGATACACCCACATACGACTACCTGGCGACCCCTGTGAAAGGGTCGTTGGACCCTCAAAGGGGTCGCAACCCACAGGTTGAGAACTGCTGGTCTAGACCCTCATCAGTGGTTGGAACCCTCCCAAACTCTAAGTTCCCAGACACTAGCCAAGGGTCAACCTTGTAAGTAGGCCTTTCAAAGGACAGCAGTCAGGTTTGCTGTATTAACTCTTTTCTGTAGCCATATTTTTGAAGAGCTTAATTTCCCATATGGTAAATGCCTAAAGAGAGGAGGAAAAGATCAGTATGTTAAGGATGGTCAGGGCATGTGTGCTGTGTACTTTGATTTCTACTCTCTTCACAGAGGAAGTAGGTTGTGAGCTGAGTCATGGAGAAGAGCTGGACATAGAAGGGGCTACAAGACCCATGTTTGGCAGTAGAATGTAGAGTTGGGTAGAGATAAAGGTGTACAAATTATATAGGGCCTCAAAAGCTGGGCAGAATATCGAGGATGTGATGTGGTAGTAATGGGACATTTTCCTGGACTTAGAAGGAGAAAGTGGTACTTGAGGATGACCGCTTGGTGATCAGAGGGTAGGCAGTGTTCTGGGGAGGAGATGAGATACAGGAAGACCAACAAAGGGACATTTGCAAGGAAACAAGAGTCGAGGTAATGAAAAGCTAGGCAAGGGTGGTGCTTGTATATCTAGTTCAGCCTTCTGCTTAATTAGGTTTTCAAATAATTGGAAGAATGGAGGGATCAGTCCAAGAGATGTATAGAAGAAACTGTGTCAAGGGTGAATGTGTCTCAAAATTATCATACATTTTTACAACCAAGGTATTTCAGTTGAAAAAAGTTTTAAGAATTATTATAGTTAGAATTTCCTTTTAAAGTTGTTAGTAGGCAACAAATATTTTAAGATCAATATATGTGATTTTTATGTTATAGAATGAGTAAAGAAATAGAATGCAATGAAGTCTACCTCTGTTTAAAGGAATGATGTTGATAAAATATATATGCATGTATTTCGAATATCTCATTAACCAAAATAGGAAGAAGAAGAAGAATTTTCTATCAGTATTGTTTTTATTTGGAATTAAATGTTTCCACACTAATATAAATGCCAAAAAAATAAATCAACTTCTACATTTCTTTCAGTTTTAATAATATAAGAGCCTAGTAAAAGGTAAGGATATATGTGTACTGTCCCAGAAAAACATGTCATTATACCATTTTTGCTCTTTTATTAGTTGCATGGTTCAATGTGGTTGGTAATTTAATATTTTGCATAGCGTCACAGTAGAGAATCCACGTTCATTACCCTTTAATCATAGTCTTACTGTTCTTGTCAATTTCCTTTTCTGTGTTTATTGAAGCCTTACATCTTTTTATGTTGTTGATAACCATCCAAAAGCAAGAAAGCTTCCCTCACTCCAATAACTTTCTCTGCTGTTACCAACCCAGCTACAAGAATCCAGTTTTAGAATTAGATATCATATGATGGCAAAGATCAAATACCAGCTTGAAGTTGTGTGTGTGTCAGTCACATCAGGCTCCCTACTAGAGAGACTAAAATTTAAGAGCCTTGATTTTTTTTGCCAGGGATGGCCTCAGTGAAACTCACCCAAGAGCAGAATGCCATTTTCATCACCTTACTAATACCAGTGTATCAAGTGTCATACATTTTCTTTGTCCTATTGACATAATTTGATATCCATTTTTATGTGTGCTGTTGTTACTTTATGTCTTTGAGGTTCCATATATCTTTGTGGAGATCTTGGATGCAAGTAGGACAATATAAATTAAAATAATTTGAAAGACAGCGTGAACAAAAGTAGCTCAGATGTTATACCTGATGCTTCTCTTGAAGTTTGTATTTTTTTGTTTTCTTTCAATAGGAATACACAAATATTGCCACAGCAATCTAATCTGGGATTGTTACAAATGGAAACAACACTGCAGGACGATATTTGGAAGCATCTCATTTTGTCAGGAGTTAGAATTCACACTAAATCACTAATTGTAACTTTCTTGATAAAATAACTTTATTTTTCTGTAGTGGAATGCTACAACGTTTTTACACTTAATTGCTTTTAAATTACAGTATTCAATTGAAAAGTTGTATTAAACTATAGTTTCTTTTGCAAAAAGTTTCAAAAGGGCATTATTTGTTGAATTTTTCTCTGAGCATGATTTCGTAGGGAACTTAACTGAGTTATATCTAAACATATATATGTTGAAAGTTTTGCTTATGCAATAAAAAGAAAAACAAAGTATCTGAATTATATAGTGTCTCCATGAAATAACTTCAAACAGTGGCCTTACGGTAGCAAATTTTCTACCAGATTTTTCTCTTTCTGATGACACTGGCTTGTAACTTGAAGTTTTCTTAAGTTTCTGGAGATAAAGGCCTATATAATTCATACATTTCATATTATGACAGAAGAAGGTGAGAGAAAAGGTGCTTCAAATATTCCATCAGGTAGTTATGAGTGCACTGAATTTTTAGTAATTGGTTCATTCATTTTTTTTCCACAACTATTTGCTCTTTCCCAATTTCAAAATGCTATTGTGGAAAATACATGAAGATTTTGTAATCTATATTCCATCTTACTTTCCCTCAGGGCAAGCTTATGCATATCATATTTTTAAAGGCTTTTTAAAAATTTAATGAATTCTCATATTTGGAAATTGTACTTTACTACTACAGCGTTATACATTTTGCAAGCACATATTCAAAGTGTTTAAGTTCCATTGCATTGAGTACCTATTATGTGTAAGACAGAATTGATGGAATTTTAAATGATGTTTTAGGTCCCAGTACCTTATTTCTTTGTTTTCTGTGTTCTGCTTAATTGTACATATACATTGCCAATAAAGTTTTTGTGAAATGTTTATTTGTAATAAAATATTGTTGCTCTTTACGCTTAAAGAAGTTATTTGCCAGTCTGTGAGAATGTTATTTTAATTTTATATGAGAATTACAGCCCTAGGTAGGACCTGTTGATGTTTTAAACACTGTTCTGCACTTTTTAAACAGAAGTTTCTAAATCAAAACCTGGTAAGAACTTGATTTTTCATGAATGGATTATGAAAAATCTTACTACAAACACTTAATTTTTTTAACATATCTTTAAAAGATAGGGCAGCCATTTCCTTAATGGGTTAGCAATGAAGAGGGATGAGAACACTTAATGCATTACAATCAGGTAATACATTTAGATAGATGGCCTGTCTCATGTTGTGTACCATCTCTATAGGTCAGGTTTTCCAAACATAGTTAATATTCATTATGGTAAGAAAGAAATGCATGCGCACAGTAGTATGACAACTTTATATTTTGTTAGGTATGGATAACATCTCTCTTAAATTTTAAAATAATTTATTTCATTTATTCCCATATTCTGGGGGACAATTACGAGCCTCACATATTTAACCATTTAGTTAACACATACTTATTACACAAATTCTGTGCTAAAATTCCAGCAGTGAACAAGAAAATGACACATGGAACCTGCTTTTATGGTGCAAACAGTCTGATAGGGAAAACAGACATTAAGCATAGAAATGATTCTTTAACTCTTTTTATTTATTGTAGCACTGCAGGATAAGATGGTTGATTCAACATTAATCATTCCACAACTGATTTCTGATTCAGGCATGTTTGGATATACTTTTGGCACTGTCTGAAAATACAAAGCATGTTAATTCCAAAATACCTCTTTGTAGTATGGGTGTATTCAGAAAACATTGGGTGCGTAAGATCTAAAGCCTAAAAAGAAAGGCTTCCTTTATCATTTAGAGTATAAAATAAGGACAGGGACCATGTCTTGTCTTGTTCACCATAGTATTGCCAGCTCCCAGCATCTTACTTGACACATAGTAGGAACTCATTAAATTAGTTGAATAAATGAGTAACGAGTAGAATATGCGTATTAGGAATTAAAATCTCATTTTCATGTGGAGGTTGAACACAAGGTTATCCATAGCATTTTTTATTGACTGGAAAGAATTTGAATTTGCTAATGCATAAGACTTGAGAAGTTGTTTTGCTAAGTCACATCCCACTGCTTTTTCCCCTTACTCTTCTGTGTGGTAGGCCCTTCCCTGACACTGGGAAGACAAAGATAAGACATAGTTCCCTCTCTGAGAGACTTCATCGACTGTTGGGGAAGAGATTCACAAAAACAGAGACTTGCAGTATAGAGTGTAAGTCTATACAGGAAATGCACACAAAAGGTGGAGAGAAACGTTGGTATTCCTGGTTGAGCATCCCCTGGTCACATTTCTTGCTTATTGGTTTCATAAGCCTCAAAAGGCACTGTTCTGTTGGTGGCGGCTTTGTTTGTTTAAAGATTTTATTGGGGGAGGGGAACAGACAAGTTGCTGTCCTTTTGTTCTTCAGTCTAGTTGTGGAGGACGTTGCTTCACTGGCCCATGTTGGTATTATCATTGCGCTCTTCCTGGGTGAGGTAGT